TGGCAAAAATGAGGGGAAAATAGTGAGATAAAGAAGTGATTTTAATGCTAGAGAGGAAAAAATGAAGGGGCACAAAATAGAGCGAAAGACAGGAGGAGGGGTGGGGGTGGGGGGGGATGCGGGAAGTGGCGTGTCGTGCAGAGCCAGTAATGCCAGCCCCGCAGGCACGCGAGGAGTCTGCCGTCCTGGGAGATCGATCAGGAACTTCAGATCAACCCCACCCCTTCAACCCCTCCTCCCTCTATCCACACACCCCTCCCCTATGCATCCTATTCCTCCACCCTCTTTCCCACTCCACCCACTACCCACCTTATTCCTCCGCCCACTTTACCCTTCCTCCCCGTGTTCATCGCAGATTCGGTTATTACTAATGCAAGTACAGGTTATTGCTGTGGGCTCTTAACCTTTACGAGGGAACAAGGCATAGCTCTCACTCTCTGTCAATCACTGACTATCGCACGCACAGACTTTCGTTTCCCCCTAAGCATACATGCATGCATACAGGCAGGCATATAGACAGGGAGGCAAGGCAGGCAGGCTGTAGACAGGCTGGCAGAGAGACAGACATTCGCTCTCAATCAAACAACCACTTACTATTTCCAAAACCACAATCATAAACAAACAGGGAGGCAAGGCAGGCAGGCAGGCAGAGAGAGTGACATTCGCTCTCAATCACACCACTTACTATTTCCAAAACCACAATCACTCATACCCGCAATCAATAACACAATACCACTATCTGAGCACTGTGCAGAAGCAAGCGTAAACCTGCATCTCTCCCTCAGTCAGGAATGGCAATAACCCCTTGCGAAACAATAATAGAGAAGATTAAAAAAAAAACTTAGGAAGTAACTGCGCATTCCGCCAAATCTCCATGAATAATTCAGGCGCGCCCCAGACATACAATGCTTCGGGTTAATGGGTAAACAAGAGGAGGAAAGGTCACCGGGATCCGCCAAGACAGGAAGCAGCAGGTGTTGCAGTTAACGAGACTCGGTTCCTTATGCGGACGAACTCAAGAATACGTTAATATGATCCCCGACAGCGCTGTCAATCTGTGGAATTCGTCTGCTAAAGTCGGAAACAAAAGCTATCGACGCAGCTGTGTGGAGAATTCGTAGACGTTGCAGGATAAATGTAGATTGAAGTGGTTATTGTATTTTCTGAGGAACAAAGCAAATAATTGTAAAGAATATATTTCCTTACACTATTGAATTACTTCTGATTATCATGTTTAAAACATGGAAATTCAATAATTTATTTATTATTTGCTATGCACATCAGATCGTAGCCAACTTTTTGTGTGTATTTCAATCTTGTGGTATTATCTATCACAACTATCTTGTTGAAAGAAACCGTAAGCTGAAGCTTCTGTAACATATTAACCATAACAGCTGACGTATAAGATGTTTTGTATTGAATGTAAGTCATAAAACGCGCAGAATTCGTCGGTGTTGAATAACGACAGCGATACGCACGAACGGAAAATCAATAACACAGATGGGTGGTAAAGAAACGAAAGATAAATACGCAATTTTAAGAGGTGTCAAACCTATGAATGGAATCATGGACAATAGATATTACAGAAACACAAACAAGGAAAATAAAGCAACAAAAGCCACATGAATGAATATCAAAGAAATTTGTATAAGCTGAAATTGATAATTCATATCTTGTCCGTCACCGAAATCCAATGATTCGTATCGCATCAACTATCCGAATCATTTCGTCGAGTTCGCAAGCGCGAAGCTTTTGAAAAAAAACGGGGCTGAAGACTGGCTGGAAACACTTTGAAACGGTTCCTTTGGCTGCCGCACGACGCGACTGTGCATGGGGAAGTCAGGAGGGAGGTAAGCTTCCGAAACATAAAATCATGAAACAGTTTTCCCAAACAAAGGATGCAGTTACTACTGCTACCAATGACCACTTCACCGTGAATTTTCCCGTCACGGCTGGACCCCAAGGAACCCGCATGCAAAATGCAAGCGCGTGCGGTCCGCTGGAAAGCCGGCCAAAATCCAGATTGTACGTCCCAAATCCGTGAAAAATTCAAGGCCAAACTGCCGCGTCATGATCCCACTACAGCGAGGACGACAGGCCGCAGCACAGCCAGCCCGCAAGCCCGGCCGAGCTGGGGGATCCCGCTGCAACACATAACCTTCGCGTTAATGACCAGGAAAGCACCGCTGCACAGCCATGACTGCAGCAGTCAGCGCTTGCAACACCGAGAGAAGTCGCCTCGAGGTTAATAAGTCGTGACATGTGGGTTTATGCAAGGCATCGTGCGAGCTGGGTATGGGGACAAGGGTCTCCTGGGATGAACGGCACATGTCCAATAATACCATGATGCCAAAGTTCGGCAGCTGTGTGCACATACAGTTGTGCAACACCAAGCGGACCACCTGTAAAGGCACGCACCCCTCGACACGGCTCAATTGCGAGGCTCAAGTGCGGTTCGGCGGCCGTCCGGAAAGACCCCGGCTGGAAATCGCTGACGACGGACGTGACTCACGCGGAGATCGAGCCGAACCCGGAGACGACGGCGGTGATTACTCGGCTCCAACGCCAGCCCTTCCGCGCCGCCCAAAGCAAAGCAAGCAGGCGGAAGGAATGTCGCGATCCAGGCCGCCCGTGGCCCTGTTCCAGCGCCGTTCACCCGAAGGCCGACTGTGACGAGGATCAATGCCCACAAGCTTCACGGAGGCGCCCCTCCAAGCGGCCGCCGTGCCGCTTCTTCCGATGGCGCTTCCAGAAAAAGGGCGCGGAGACAAGAGGGCCGAGGGGGAGGGCGTTCCCAGGGCGGAAAACGCCGAAGGACGGCCAGCGGGATGGGGGGTGGAGGGGGGGGGGTGCATCTTGCAACAAAACCGCCAAGCGTTCAGGGCGTCAATGAAGAGAGACAATGATTCGGGCCGCATCCCACCTTGCAAGGACAAGGGGGTGAAGGGTGCATGTGCGCGTGTGTGCAAGGGTGTGTGTGTTTGTGTGCATGTGTGTGCGTGTTAATGCGGATGTGTGTTAGCATGTGTATGTGTTTGTTTCCATGTGTGTGTGCATGTGCGCGCATGCTTCTCTACGTGCATGCATGTGAGCGTGTGTATTTATATGTGAGTGCGTGCGTACATCTGAATGTGCTTGTGTGTGCATGCATCTGAATGTGCGTGTGTGCATGTATCTAAATGTGCGTGTGTGCGTTCGTCTGAATGTGCGTGCGCGCGTGCGTCTGAATGTGCGTGTGTGCGTGCGTCTGAACGTGCGTGTGTGCATGTATCTGAATGTGCGTGTGCGCGTTCGTCTGAAAGTGCGTGCGCCTGAATGTGCGTGCGCACGTGCGTCTGAACGTGCGTGCGCGCGTGCGTCTGAACGTGCGTGTGTCAGAACGTGCGTGCGTGACGTGCGTGCGCGCGTGCGTCTGAACGTGTGCGTGCGTGTGTCTGAACGTGCGTGCGTGTGTCTGAACGTGCGTGCGTGTGTCTGAACGTGCGTGTGTGCGTGCGTCTGAACGTGCTTGTATAGATGTGTGTATGCTTGTATAGGTGTGTCCGCCTCTAAGCGTGTGAGCGCGTCTAAACTGTGTATGTGTGTGTCTGTATATGCATGTGCGTACGACGTGTGTACGTGAATATGAGTGTGCCCGAGGAGTGAACATGTAGGGAGGAGGGGATCGATATAACCCCCGGCATCCTTGGCCAGGCCTCTTGGTGCGCGTCTCCACCCACAACCCTTTAACTGCTACCAAACAATGCGGCTTTCCCCTCGACGCCAGGGACAAACGGGGCTTTTGCCGGCAGAAGCTACGAGGGGGAGGGGGCGAGGGAGGGGGAGGAGGGGCGAGGAGGGGAGAGGGGGGTAGGAGTGGGTGGGCCCTCCCCTCTATGTCCACCCTAATGCCAGGAACATCAAAGGCGTTTCCGTAGATAAGAAAATTCCTCCAGATGCGGCGCGGAGTCGAGGAAGCGGTGCTCTTAAAAGGTCTCCTACCGCAAGCTGTGTGGCCCCGGCACTTCTCTTCTTCGCGCTGGCTGACCTTAGCGTTGCAAGGGCCACGAGAATGACTGTCTCCTCTGCCGCGCAAATATCTACCGCTACTTTAGATAGATTTCCGCGATAACTAGATCTGGCCAGACGCACCATTCCCCCCTCCCCCCAAACACCCCTCCAGCTGCCAAGCCAAGCATGAGGCATATCTTCCCTTATGTTATGCAATCTGGCGTCTAAAGCTTTTTCCTTGGGCCAATCCAAAATGATCCTCTAATACGACTTTTTTCGTCTTTACTGGCGGTTCAGGAGATGAAAAGTCTTCGAATTACATCCCTGATGTTTACTGTTACATTCTTGTTTTGCTTTTTTGTCTATGTGCGTTCGTGAAACGCGAGTGGGGCTGCAGGCGAGTTTTAAAAATGAGTAAATTTGGGGTCTTGAGAGCCCGTGCATGACCTTAATCCGCATCCCAAACACAAAATCAATCGCAGATTCAACTTCTGATGGCAGAGCGTGCGACCCTCAAGTCCTTTTGCAGCTATCAGCTGACAAAGCGAATCCCACATTTGTGCTCGGGAAATGCCTAGTCCCCAGCCTCCAACGCGACGCATCCCCGGCTAGAATCAGCATCAGCTGGAGAATCCTTCCCAAAGCGGCCATGGTATACCCTCGCCCTCCCCGCCATCATTCCCGACCACAGCTGACGCATACAGCTGAGGAACACGCCTTCCCGCCCTCGTCCCCTCTTACCATCATATTCGAAGTGCCTCATGCCTTATGTAGAGAAGCCTGAGCGTTTTTGATGTACTGGATCTTTTTACGGAAGAATTCCCAAACAAGACCCATTGGCAGCATGGCAGCAATTACCTTATAGCAATCCATTATTCGGAACAGTCTATCTGACGTTAATTTTCGTTGCAATTAATGATATTTCAGCCTAGGTGCAGATTCCCTTCCTGCTGACCCCGTTCCTGCGGCCGCGAGCGTCCGGCCGGCGCGCAATGGGCGAACATACCCACCTGTGTAGTTCTGCGGAAACCTGGCCTTGTGCGGCCAGTAGTTGTGGTGATGCGGCCCGGCCTTGTTGGTGGCCACACCGGGGCAGCGCAGAAGGTCCAGCGCCGTTAGTGTGTCATGCCGTAGCAGCTGTGTGGTGAGGCGGTCATACACCCGCAGCACCGGGGCCCCGGGAGGCGGCCACGCGTACCCATACCCAGGGGGCGGTGCCGTGGGCGCAACGGAAGGATGCTGCTGCATCCCTGCACCCTCACACCGCGCCACCACCATACTCCCTCCCCCTGCCACCGGCACACCTTCCCCACTCCCACACCATCCCTGAGAACTGTGCACTGCAGATCGACACGCCCGGACTTTCACTCTACTTCCAGGACACTGCGTGGTCGTCGTGGTCGTCGCTGGAGCCGCGGGACGGGCGGTGCCATGGCGTTCGCACGGAGAACGAGGGACAACCGGGCTCGGCGCGGTCACTACCAGATGGTGCCAGGGGACTCACTGGCTTGCTGCTGCTGCTGCTGCTGCTGCATCACTCAGCTGGCAGCCTCACTCTCCACAACACAATTCAACTAGTCGTCCTCACCCGACACGTTCTAATCAATATCACCGGCCGAAATGCTATCCCGGGCTGATGTTATACAGCAGTGACATTTGCACACACTACCACACCCTCTATAGTGAACACGGCGCGGAGAAGGCCGAGGGCGGCCATGACCGCAGCCCGAAGGATTCCGCTACGCCCGCCGCAGAGTCGATGCACGTCGTAGGAGAGACGCAGCTGGCGCCAGCGTCCGCGGCAGGGAGGGGGCGCAGCGTGTCCACCTTGACTGCGATCGTATGGACGACACTGGTGAGCTTGGAGCCCGAGTTGAGACTGAGGGCGGGCTGGGTCGGTCCTTCAGTGCTGCACCCTCACGCACGTGGTCCACGCTGCCTGCCGCCCCGCCGCTGCTGCCGCTGCTGGCAGCGGCGCCTCTCCTATCGCCGTCACCGCCGCGCTTCGCTGCCCTCGCATCAACTACACTCCGGTTCTTCGTGCGAGGAAATCGGCAAACAATGTCAATCGAGCTCAGCACAAACGCCAAAACAACGCACGTGTGCTCATGGTTAGCCCGCAGATGTAAATGGGAAGATACGGCCACAGCGCCGCAGACTACGGCACACCCCCTCCTCTGCCCTCCACCATTCCCTTCCTCCATGCCTCGACCCCCCATCCCCCGCTGTAACCGCCGTGGGCTCTTTCGCTCAGGCCTCTATACTGGAAGCGCAATCGATGTAATGTGCAAGAACTATTGCATAACGATCAGGCAGCGAGCGAGCGAGCGAGCGTGACACGGCAGGTTGGCAGACAGGAACAGAGGAAGAGTGCAAGAGCGGAAGAGGCAGAAAAAATGAAAAACAGGGAAACTGGAAAAGAGGGTAAAGGGGGACGGGAGGGGAGGGAGGGTCAGGCAGACAGATTTATATACAGAAAGAAAATGAGAAATAGAAAGAGAACGAGAGCGAGAAAGAAAATGAGAAATAGAGAGAGAGAGAGAGAGAGAGAGAGAGAGAGAGAGAGAGAGAGAGAGAGAGAGAGAGAGAGAGAGAGAGAGAGAGAGAGAGAGAGAGAGATAAACGGGTTAGCGAATCTCGAGGTCGCCGAGTGTCACTGTTGGCGGCGGTGTCGGCGGAAACGGATCGTGCATGTTCCGACATTGATTTTCAGGGCGAAGAGAGAGAGAGAGCATTCCCCCCCCCCCTCCTCCCCTTCAGTCGCCTTTCCTCGGCAGACCTCACGACGGAACCTGAGACGAAACCCGCGATGGAACTCATGATGGAACTCGACGGAACCCACCACGGAACCAGCGAAGAGCCCTGCGATGGAACCCATGACGGAACCAGCGAAAAGATCCCCGATAAACCCAGTCGAGAACCAACGACAGACCCTGCCACGGAACCCGGATCCCTCACCGGAATCCGCGATCTCAAACCCGTGACGACACAGCGCGTAACAGCGGCTCGCCATAGCATCGACAACGCAGAAGCCTCCCCGTCGGCGTCTCCCATCAGCGCGACGGCCCGCCGCTGGCCACGCGACCCCACGTCACAAGTCGCCTTCCGTAGGCCGTGCCCTCTGACCCTCCACGACGCCGCCGCCGCCGCCGCCTCCTGACGATGCGACGCGAGAATCCTGGCGACGCAATGCACGCAAGCAGCCCTCGACGTAAGACTACACTCTTCTCTTGACCTTACCCGACGTAACGATTGCTCGACGTAACAGCAATCCCGCCGGCGGAAATGGCGCAATGTCAGCAAGAAAACCAATTGACAGCTGCTGACAATCAAAGCATTATTACTATTCCACTCTTCGCGTTGTCCTTGTTGCTGCTGCTGTTTCAATCTTTACCTCATATCGGTCTGCATCAATCTATATCGACCTCTATCTCTACCTGTCTGTCTATATCTACCTAACATCTGCCAACCCGTACCTCAGATCTATGTCGCCCTGTCTCTACCTGTCTATCTCTATCGATCTAACATCCGCAAACCCGCATCTTTTTCTTTCTCTATATCCATACATCTACATCGCCTTATCTGTCCAGATCTCGTCCGTCGTGAGAATGCGACAACCTGCTATCATACAATGACCTTGCACTCTGCTCTGCAACAATTTTTGCAACCACCTACTGACCTTGTGTGTGTGTGCGTGTGTGTGCGCGTACGTGCGTGTGTGTGCGTGTGTGTGTGTGTGTGTGTGTGTGTGTGTGTGTGTGTGTGTGTGTGTGTGTGTGTGTGTGTGTGTGTGTGTGTGTGTGTGCGCGTGTGCGTGTGCGTGTGCGTGTGTGCGCGTGTGCGTAATATGTGTGTAATATGTGTGCGTGCGTGCGTGTGTGTGTGTGTGTGTGTGTGTGTGTGTGTGTGTGTGTGTGTGTGTGTGTGTGTGTGTGTGTGTGTGTGTGTGTGTGTGTGTGTGTGTGTGTGTGTGTGTGTGTGCGTGCGTGTGCGCGCGCGCGCGTCGTCTTTTCTGACGTGTATGTGAAGCGCCGACTGTGAACGTGATGTCACTAGCATAAACAATTACTCAAATTGAAATTTCTAAGCCAACCTCCACACACACCTTCAGCGCCAACGAATTACCTCCCTTTTCCCTTGCAACCCGATGATCCCCCCCCCCTTACACGCACACAGCCACTCCCCCCATCCCGCACGCGCGCAAACGCAGATAGATAAAGAGACAGGCAGGCAAAAAGTTAAGCTGCAAATCCAATGAGGAAATGCAGAGCAATTTAAAAAGTGCCATCTCGTCTTTCTGTTAATTTTTTCCAGGGGAATTGGTTACATAATTCATCAAATTGGTTGAAGGACAGACAGACAGGCAGCAGGATTTACAAAGACCAACCGAAAAATAAGGACACAAGAATGGGATGTGGGAAGGAGTGGGAGTGGGAACGGGAGCGGAATTGGGAATGGGAAGGGGGGAAAGAGTAGGAGTGGGAATGGGAGGAGGAAGAGGAGGAAGAGGAGGAGAAGAAAAGAAAAGAAGAAGAAGAAGAAGGACAGGTAGAAGAAGAAGGAGGAGGAGAAGGACAGGAAGAGGAAGGACGGGAAGAAGGACAGGAAGTAGTAGTGGGGAGCAGGAAAGGGACGAAGGGAAGGCAAGGGTGTGGAAGGGAAGAAGGAAAGAAGGAAAGGAGGAAAGGAAGCAATGGAAGAAGGGAAGGAGGAAAGGAAGCAATGGAAGAAGGGAAGGAGGAAAGGAAGCAATGGAAGAAGGGAAGGAGGAAAGGAAGCAAAGGAGGAAGGGAAAGAGGAAGGATGGACGGAGAGACGCCAGAAACGCTCGCAGGGAATGGGGCAGGGGCACAGAAGCGCAAGAAAGGGGTGCGGAGGGTAAGAGTATCAGCATATCCAGATTGGGGGGGGGGGGGGGCAACGGGGAAAAGGCAGAAAAAGGAGAGGATTACCACGGGGAAGACGAGGTAGCAGCAGCAGACTGAAAGGGGGCCAGCAGGAGAGAAGCTGAAACAAAGAAGGGAGAGGGGCCAGCAGGGTATGGGCACGGAGGACCGGGAGGCCAACAGGAGGGACGGCTTGGTCAGTAGGAAGGAGGAAGAGGGAGTCAAGTTTTATGACTCTGCTAGGAGGGCCACAGGGGAAGGGGGAAGGGGGAAGGGAGAAGGGAGAAGAGAGAAGGGAGAAACGGGAGGGGAGGGGTTAGGAGGAAAAGGAAGGAAAATGATGAAGAGGAGGAAAGGTTGGAGGGGGAGTAAGAGGAAGAAGAAGAAAGGTTGGAGAGTAGGCATAGGAGTAGGAGGAGGAGGAGGATGAAAGGCTGGAAGAAGAAAAGGCGGACGAGAACAGAGGAGTACTGGGAATACCAGCGTTATGCTACGCACTGTAATTCAAATTGTCATCGTTGGTTTACTTTTTCCATGATGACTCGTCAAAAAAATCAAGTGACTGTGCGGGTTGAAAAAATATTTGCTTGTCTGCACACTTTCGTTAATAGGTATGCATAAATATTCAAATAGGTATGCGTCCTTACATGTGCACAAAATACACACATTTAAATATATATACATACAACACACAAACACAGAAACAGACATATAGAGAAAGACAAAGACAGACAAACAAACAAAATAAGAACTAAGGGAGGGAGATGCGGGGGTAGCAGAGGATGGCGGAGAGGAGATACGGGGAGGTATATAGGACGAAGGATAGGAGAGGAAAAGGAAGGGGGAAGGAAGGGATTGGGTAAACATCATGGAGGGCGGTAATAAGAGCAAAGGATATTGAGAGGAGAAGGGGAGAAGGGGAGAGGGCAATGTGTAGAGCGCTTAGGAGGCGAGAAATATCAGTGTGGGCGGCGTGGGGGTGATACTGCCGCCCTAAGCCAGGCGGGCGGTGAAATAAGCGGAGCCTTAAGGCGGGGAAGCATCACGGAGGCAACTCAGAAAACGGTGCGAGACGGGCGAAGACGAAGACGACGATGGCGTTGCTGCTGACGACGAAAAGGGACAAACCTTCCATAACAAGTAAAATTAGAAAGGTATATATATTTTCTTCAATGATAATTATATCAAAGACGAAGCGATGAATCAACGACTCGCTTTCGACTCTTTTGAATCCTGAAATTTCGCCCCTTGGCCCCATTCTCCCTTCCTTCATTCCCTCCCTCCATCCCCCTTCCCTCCTTCCTCCCACGCCCCCAGTAAAATTGTTGCTAGGGTCCGAGTGCCGCAGCCACCCGACACGGTGCCATCGAGGTGGAGGGGGAGGGGAGGGGAGGGGGAGGGGAGGGGAGAAGAGGGAGGATAAAGTAGCAATGGGGGGGGGAGGGAAAAGGAGAGGGAGAGGGATAGAGAGAGAGGAGGGGGTGGGGGTTGGTGGCAAAGGGAGAGGGGAGAGAGAAAGGGAGAAAGGGAGAAGGGGAGAGAGAAAGGGAGAAGGGGAAAAAGGAAGGGGAAAGAAAGGGGCGACGGAAAGGGGAATAGAAAAAAATATATACATCAATAACACTAAAATAAACCATCAGACAAAGCAATGAAGCCAAACCTAAAAAAGAAAGGGGAAAAAATAACAGCATTCGTACCCTCCCTCCCCCCTTCTCCCCACTGCCATAGAACCCGACGCGGCAGTACACAAAGGAGAGGGCCAGCAGCGGACATGAGGCGGCAGTTGCAGAACGGCACACACGCACGGGCCGCCCTACGTCGCCGGGCTGCAGATCGATAATGGCAAGCACACCACTCTTACCTCACGTGCCCCCCATCCCCCATCCCCCACCCCCACCCACTATCCCTCCTCCCCGCCCCCCGGATCATCCCATCCATCCCTCTAACCCTCTAACCAGTCTCTCTCTCTCTCTCTCTCTCTCTCTCTCTCTCTCTCTCTCTCTCTCTCTCTCTCTCTCTCTCTCTCTCTCTCTCTCTTCTCTCTCTCTCTCTCTTTCTCAATAAACGGACGTAAGTGACGTGGCTATCTGCTATTCATACGCACACACCGTGGGTTATGTGGGGTCATAGAGAGATCACAGGGGGTCACTGGGGATAGCGGGGTCATGTGGGGATTATGGGGCCACCGGGGGATCAGGGGGTCACGGCAGTATCACGGGGGTTATGGGTGGATCATGGGCATTGGGGGATCATAAGGTCATGGGTGGACCATGGGGATTATGGGTCACCGGGGGTCATGGCAGGATCACGGGGTGGGGAGGGGGGGGGTCATGGCAGGATCACGGGTCATGGGTGGACCATGGGGGATATGGGGTCACCGGGGATCAGGGGGTCACGGCTCATAGGATCAGGATGGGGCCACGGGGTCATGGGTCATGGGTGGACCATGGGGGATTATGGGGTCACCGGGGGATCAGGGGGTCATGGCAGGATCACGGGGTCATGGGTGGACCATGGGGGATTATGGGGTCACCGGGGGATCAGGTCATGGCAGGGGGTCATGGTCATGGGGGGGGTGGGATGCAGGATCACGGGGGTGGGGGGGTCACCGGGGATCAGGGGTCATTGGGGTCATGGGTGGACCATGGGGGGATTATGGGGTCACCGGGGATCAGGGGTCATGGCAGGATCACGGGGTCATGGGTGGACCATGGGGGGATTATGGGGTCACCGGGGGATCAGGGGGTCATGGCAGGATCACGGGGTCATGGGTGGACCATGGGGATTAGGGGTCACCGGGGGATCAGGGTCATGGCAGGATCACGGGTCATGGTGGACCATGGGGATTATGGGGTCACCGGGGATCAGGGGTCATGGCAGGATCACGGGTCATGGGTGGACCATGGGGATTATGGGGTCACCGGGGGATCAGGGGGTCATGGCAGGATCACGGGGTCATGGGTGGACCGGGGGATTATGGGTGGGGGCATTCACGGGGGACCACGGGGGATCAGGGGTCATGGCAGGATCAGGGTCATGGGTGGACCGTGGGGTTACGGGCACCGGGGGATCAGGGGTCATGCAGGATCACGGGGTCATGTTGGACCATGGGGGGATTATGGGGTCACCGGGGGATCAGGGGTCATGCAGGATCCGGGGTCATGGGTGGACCATGGGGGATTACGGGGTCACAGGGGATCAGGGTCATGGCAGGATCACGGGGTCATGGTGGACCGTGGGGGATTACGGGGCCACCAGGGGATCAGGGGGTCATGGCAGGATCACGGGGTCATGGGTGGACCGTGGGGGATTACGAGGCCACCGGGGGATCAGAGGGTCATGGGGAATCATAGGGTCATACAGGCACCTCGAACAAAAAGATGATAAAAAAGACGAGGAAGTTAAGGAGATGAAAAGGAGATGGTGAATGAGAACGAGGAGAGGGAGAGGAAGTTGGAGGAGGAGGAGAGGAGGAGGAGGAGGAGGAGGAAGGAGGAGGAGGAGGAGGAGGAGGAGGAGGAGAGGAGGAGGAGGAGGAGGAGGAGGAGGAGGAGGAGGAGGAAAGGGGGTGAAAAAGGCGAAAGGGGAGGAAAAGGAGGAGAAGGAGGAAGAGGAGGAAGGGGGTGAAAAAGGCGGAAGGAGGAGGAAGGGAGGGAGGGAGGGAGGGAGGGAGGGAGGAGGGAGGAGGGAGGGAGGGAGGGGAAGGAGGGAAGGAGGGAGGAGGGAGGGAGGGAGAGGGAGGAAGGAAGGAAGGAAGGAAGGAAGGAAGGAAGGAAGGAAGGAAGGAAGGAAGGAGGAGGAGGAGGAAGGGGAGGAAAAGGAGGAGGGGAGAGAAAAGGAGAGGAAGGGAGGAGAAGAGGAGGAGCAGGAGGAGAGGGGGGAGGAGAACGAACAACAAAGAAGAAGAAGAGGAAGAAGGAGAAGGAGTTAGGAAAGGGAGGAGAGGAAGAGGAGTAGTAAAAGGAGGAGAGGAAGAGGAGTAGTAAAAGGAGGAGAGGAGAGGAGTGGGAGGAGGAGGAGGAGAAAGGAGAAAGGAGAAAGGAGAAAAGGAGGAAGAGGAAGTTGGAGGAGAAAAAGAGAAGGAGTGGGAGGAGGGGAGGGGGAGGAGAAAGAGAAAGAAGAAGAGGAAGAGGAAGAAGAGAATAAAAAAGGTGAAGGGGGGAGGAGGAGGGAAGGGGGAGGAGGAGAGAGGCGCGGCGAGGAGGAGGCGGAGGCGAGGAGAAGGAGGAGGCGACGGCGGTGGCCATGTGGGCCAGCGGCGGCTGCGGCGTGCCAGCTGGACAATCAATCAATAGCGCGAGGGGACCCGCGCCGCTGCCGGCAAAGGCCACCCACTGCAACAATGCACCTCGCTCACATCTAATTAATCTTTGGGGTCGATTGCAGCCGTAAGACACGGGGGGTTCCGGCACTCACCTGCGAAACGGACGCGCTAATGAGCAGGACTGCCCGAAGCCCCGGCCCGAGCACGCCCGCGGAGAATGCACGGCGTGGGCGCAAAGGCAGGCGCGCCCGAGATGCATTACTCCATCACAGCATTCACACTCCTATTATCTTGGGCAGCAAATCACCCACGTAGAAAGACGCATTTCAACTCACGAATGCAAGGTATGTCTTCTGCCTTATCCTTCCCTTTCCTTTCCTTTTCTTTCCCCGTCCCTTTCCTTTTCACTTTGCCTTTCCCCTACTACCCCTCTAACCTCTTCTCCCATCACTACTTCCAATCCCACTCCCACTCCCACCCTCACCCCCATATCCTCTCTTTCCCCGTCTCTCCCTCTCCCTCTCTCCCTCCCCTCCCTCTCTCCCTCCCCCTCCCTCCCTCCTCTCTCTCTCTCCTCTCTCTCTCTCTCTCTCTCTCTCTCTCTCTCTCTCTCTCTCTCTCTCTCTCTCTCTCTCTCTCTCTCTCTCTCTCTCTGTGTGGTGTGTGTGTGTGTGTGTGTGTGTGTGTGTGTGTGTGTGTGTGTGTGTGTGTGTGTGTGTGCTTGTCTGCCAATGCCACGTGTCATTCACTCACAAAGTAACTATCAGCCTAAGAAAGTCAACCAATGACTGAAAATAAATTTTTCTGACTATCCGTAGGTAGATACAATCAGTCATTTAATTAGTCAATCAGACAATTCGTCAGTCATTCAGCCAATCAGTCCATCACCAATCTATCAATTAATCAGTCAATCAGTCAGTCAGTCAGTCGGTCTCCCTTCGCCTCGCAAGCGCGGCAGCCTCTCTGCAGGAAAAAGTCTAAACGGATCCCGTTTCGTCCTGAAGCAATGCGTGCACGTAAGCTTATTCTCCCATCCCCACGCACACGGAGCCAGGAATTCGTACGCACGCACCCGAGCACGCACTCATTTCCGTACACCTGGGCCTTCACATCCGCATCCACAGGCAGGCATATATACAACCACGCAGACGGATAGGGGTGAGACCAGGGCACGGGGCAGCGCAGACCTAGACGCTGCACTGCACTCAACGCTGAAGCACACGGCTCGGAAGGCCTCTGAGCGACCAGCATCCTCGACGCCGCGGGCCCTTTGGAGAGCCCCTTCTGCACCTCGGACAGGAATCGAGGACGCATCAAACAATTTTCTTCCACTTGAGTCTGTTGACGGATACGCTGACCTGCAGATGGTTCACGCTACGGGCGGTGGTGTGGTGTGTTTGGTGGTTTTAGTGGTTTTGGTGGTAGTGGTGGTTTTAGTGTTTTTGTGGTGGTTTCGTGGTAGTGGCGATGGTGGTTTGGTTTTGGTGGTTGGTGTGTGTTTAGTGGATGGGTGTGTTGTAGTGTGATGGGTGTGGTTGTGTGTGATGGTGTGTTGTAGTGTGATGGGTGTGGCGTGGTGTGATGGGTGTGGTGTGGTATGAGTGTGGTGTGGTGTGTTGGTGTGGTGGTGGTGACGATGACGACGATGGCGACGACGACGATGAAACAATGTAACCCCCAACCGCTCAGCGACCCGTCAGTCAGCGGAATGGAATACTTTACCAACTGCCGCAGAACGAGAGCGAAAGGTTCGCCAATATCGCCCTGCATTCACGGCGCCTTACCTGCAAAGAAAAAGAATGTGTTAGTTTCTGGTGTGAAATATGAATCGCATATGCAAGCTTAAATACAAAATATTTGTCCTATCTCTATCAACGCGGGAGGGGGGCAGGGAAAGAGGGAGGAAAAGAGGGAAAGAGGCAGAGACAAAGTGTGTGTGGTGTGTGGTGTGTGGTGTGTGTGTGGTGTGTGTGTGTGTGTGTGTGTGTGTGTGTGTGTGTGTGTTGTGTGTGTGTGGTGTGGGTGTGTGTGTGTGTGTGTGTGTGTGTGTGTGTGTGTGTGTGTGTGTGTGTGTGTGTGTGTGTGTGTGTGTGAGAGAGAGAGAGAGAGAGAGAGAGAGAGAGAGAGAGAGAGAGAGAGAGAGAGAGAGAGAGGAAGAGAGAGAGAGAAGAGAGAGAGAGACGAAATCCCGCCCGACTTCCGCCCCGAAATGCCTTGACCGGAATCCGTGACAAATTCCGACGCGCTTCCCTCTTCAGCGTCGCGCTCGCCACCGGTCTGCGCTCTTTACGGCTGTGGACGCTCGGACTAAGCGATCGGGTCTCCAGGTCATTTTCCCGCTCGCTTGCCCTGCCCCCTCCCCCGTCCCCCTCGTCTTACTGCTGCTGCTGTTGTTGAACCAAAACACGTCACAATTGGAATCTGTCTGTCTGTCTGTCTGTCTCTAACGCACGCACGCACACACATACACACGAAACGCAAAGGGAAGAGCAAAACATCCTGTGTACCGCTGGGTCAAGATCGCACAAAGAAAGTCTACAAGGAGTATGCTTCGGAAGGACAAAGAAAGGATAGAATCAGCGTCCGGAGACAAAGAAAGAGAAATAAAGGGAGTGGGAGGGGGAAAGAGAAAGAAAAGGATAGAATCAGCGTCGAGTTAAGAGAAAGAGAAATAAATGGAGGGAGGGTGAGAGAGAGGGTGGGTGAGGTGAGAGAAAGAGAGAGAGAGAGAGAGAGAGAGAGAGAGAGAGAGAGAGAGAGAGAGAGAGAGAGAGAGAGAGAGAGAGAGAGAGAGAAGAGAGAGAGAGAGAGAGCTAGCTAGCTTTACTCCCTGACCTGGGAAACGTGCCCGGGATTTCATTGGAGCGCAACTGCAAACAAAGAAACCACAATAAAAGATATTGATCCTCCGCGAAAGAGAGATGCCATGCGGGGCTGTATCAACACGTGGCGCGCCCCCCCGAAAATGTCCCGATTCGGAGCAGCGGATGAACCTGCACATAAAAAAATGAATGAAAACTAAGCGCCGAGACACACAGGATTGATCACAAAGGAGTAGCAGACCTATTTGCAGAGTAGGCGGCCTTTCCTGCTCTTCTTCCTTCCCCTCTCCTTCATTCTCATTTTCATCTTTATCCATATTCTTCTTTAATTCTCCCTCTGCTATATCCCAACTTTCGCTTCCCCTTCCCCGGCCCCTCCGACACCGCCTCTCGCCAGGAGTGAATCAAGAAAATGTGACATGTCTTCCCTGTCCCATTCGTTAATAATAATAATAAAATAGAAGCAAAGAGAGCCCACGAGTACCCAAACAAAAAAGATAACCCGCCCACCTTGTCGCCGCCCCCACCTGCCATAGCACCCATTACCCTACCTCCAGACACCCCCTGCCCTGCCCCTGAGACCATAACCCTACCTCCCAGAGACCCCCTACCCCCCCCCCCCCCCCTCCGACCATGAGACCATCCCCTACACTCGACCGCCGGCACAGCCTGCCCACCCAATATGCCACCCCCCCCCCCCGTGTGCCCCATACCTACCCACCCAGGCCAAGCCATAGCCCCTACCCAACCCCCCTAACAGGCGCTGCCAATCGATATCTCGGGTACACTGACACCAGACGTCACACAGGACCCGGGCGACCACGTACAAGAAATCGAGGCGACGCACCGCTCCGCAGCAAAAGCGGACGCTGTCCTCTGCCCAAAGGGGGCCACGGAGGTATCCGCCTTAAAACGACGTCGCTCTTATTGAGAGTGAAACGTCGGCGTCTATAATTGCCTTCCAAGTCGGTTCAATATTCGCGGACGTCGTTATGTCTTGCACCCCATGTGAGGTCCCCCTAGACAAAGCAACCCTCCCCTTCGCCTTCCCCGCCTCCTTTCTTCGCCTCTTACTTGCCCCTCTCCTTTTCCCTCTCATCCCTCTCCTTCTCCTTCCTCTCCTCCCACCACCCTTTCAATCCCCCTCCCCTTCTCCTTCCCGTCCCTTAGCCTTTTCTTTCCCCTTTCTCTTTCCGTGCTCGTCTTGTGTAGTCTCCCTTCTCCATCTCTTTTCCGCTCTCTGATCTCTCTTCTACTGCTTTGCCTTTTTTCCGTACCCCACACCCATCTCTCTCTCTCTCTCTCTCTCTCTCTCTCTCTCATCTCTCTCTCTCTCTCTCTCTCTCTCTCTCTCTCTCTCTCTCTCTCTCCTTCTGTACCTTTCTTTCTGTTGCAATTTCACGCGTCTTCCTCCTCTCATACTTTCTTCCCAATTCCTTTTCTTATCCCATCTTCCTATTCGGTCTGATTCCCCCCCCCCCACTATCATTCTTCCACTTTATTTTGTCTTTCGGTCAATCTGCTTAGTTTCATATTCTCTCGGTGTGTGTGTCTATCTGTATCCCTGTCTCTCTATCTCCCTGTCTGTCTGTGTGTGTCTCTGGGTCTGTCTCTATGTCTTTGTCTGTGTCTGTCTCTATCTCCCTGTCTGTATCTCTGTGTCTGTCTCTCAATCTGTCGGTTTGTGTCTGTCTCTCAATCTGTCTGTTTGTGTCTGTCTGTCTGTCTGTCTGTCTGTCTCTCAGTCTGTCTGTGTCTGCCTCTCAGTCTGTCTGTGTCTGCCTCTCAGTCTGTCTGTGTCTGCCTCTCAGTCTGTCTCTGCCTCTCAGTCTGTGTCTGCCTCTCAGTCTGTCTGTGTCTGAGTCTGTCTGTCTGCCTCTCAGTCTGTCTGTGTCTGCCTCTCAGTCTGTCTGTGTCTGCCTCTCAGTCTGTCTGTGTCTGCCTCTCAGTCTGTCTATGTCTGCCTCTCAGTCTGTCTGTGTCTGCCTCTCAGTCTGTCTGTGTCTGCCTCTCAGTCTGTCTGTGTGTCTGCCTCTCAGTCTGTCTGTGTCTGCCTCTCAGTCTGTCTGTGTGTCTGCTCTCAGTCTGTCTGTCTGTGTCTGCCTCTCAGTCTGTCTGTGTGTCTGCCTCTCAGTCTGTCTGTGTGTCTGCCTCTCAGTCTGTCTGTGTGTCTGCCTCTCAGTCTGTCTGTGTGTCTGTCTACTTGTGTCTGTCTGTCTCTGTTTCTCTGTCTCTGTGTCTGTTTCTCTGTCTCTGTGTCTGTTTCTCTGTCTCTGTGTTCTGTTTCTCTGTCTCTGTCTGTGTCTGTTTCTCTGTCTCTGTGTCTGTTTCTCTGTCTCTGTGTCTCTGTCTCTGTGTCTGTCTCTGTCTCTGTGTCTGTCTCTGTCTCTGTCTCTGTCTCTTCTCTGTCTCTGTCTCTGTCTCTGTTTCTCTGTCTCTGTGTCTGTTTCTCTGTCTCTGTGTCTGTTTCTCTGTCTCTGTTTCTGTTTCTCT